TCATGATGCATCTGGCCTGGGGTTGGCTCTATAATAGGTTGGAACAGATTAAATAACTTGTCTATATTCCTGGCAGATAATTATTCAAAGAAGCCCATGCAGTAAGAGAACATCTTAATAATTATAGTAGATTAAAAAATTAATCTAAAAAACCACGTTTTCTCCAATACTTTAAATCGAATCCAGAATCACAGAAGTGAATCAGATATTTTATCTGATTCACTCAAGTAGCACCTTATTGTTATCCTTTAATGTAAGAAGTGTGTACAGTAAATTATTTGAATGGCATCGGATCAAATGAGTTGGCAACCAGTAAAATCTTATTTCCAAATCCCGAAAATATCTAATTTTAGAATCCCAATCAATGACTTGTAGATCATAAAGATAACTATCAAAAACATTAAAATTGAATTGCCAGCAATAGAAAAGCACTGGATTTTTGTTCAAAATGTTGAGGTAAATAAAATGTCACATAAAGATATGAATGCAGTATGTTATTCAAATTTTATTTCAGCAAACAATCAAATTCATGGAACATTTTCAGTTGAGCCCATTGATGAATAATTCAATCTTGTCTGATAGACTGTAATTTATATGATGCATCTGGCCTGGGGTTGGCTCTATGATAGGTTGTAACAGATTAAATAACTTGTCTATATTCCTGGCAGATAATTATTCAAAGAAGCCCATGTAGTAAGAGAACATCTTAATTAGAAATGCATTAAAAAGATAGTGGAGCAAATCAGACTCTTCACGCATTTATTCTTGTCAAAATGTTTTGAAAAAACTGTAAATGTTAGCAGTCTTTTGAATGGTTTTGAATATTATATGCAGCAGACAAATTGAAAACTGACCCTTGACTCACTAATCCAGTAGGCCAAGATAATTATATAAATTGCTTGCATTCCACATCAAAGAAAGAAACTATTGTATTTTTGCATTATCCTCTAAATCAGTGTTCCCCAACCCATGGTCTGTGGACTGGTGCTGGTCTGCAGAAGTTTTTTTGCTGGTCCGCAGAAAATTTTGAGCATGATACATTTATTAAAAGTAGCAATTAACTCTGCTATCATTATCTAAAACTTTGGAAAGACAATTGCAGTTGAAATCATTTGATGAAAAGTAAAAGTTGCCTTTTCTCCTAATAGCACTTCAGAGTTCAGACACACTTTTACCTCCTGAAATAAATTATTTAAATTTTTTATTCTGATAAACCTTTCTTCAAGCCCACCTTTCTAAGTTGTTGATGTTCAGCTATAGCTGCTTCATAAGTGTGTAACTTGATTTTACAATAAGCATGCACTTTTATTTACCTGCTTTAAAGTCTAACAAGCAACATTTTGTCAAGTCTGAAAACATTTTATGAAACTTTGCCAGTCTGCAGAAAATTTTTGGGAATTTGCAGGTCTGCAAAAATTTTTTTTTGAAACTTGCCAGTCAGTCTGCAGGCTCTAAAAGGTTGGGGAACACTGACTTCACATCTTCAGTCGTTCCTTTCAAATTAGGTAGGCTTTTTTACATGACAGATTTTTTTTTTGCTGCACCCTGGCATTCAACCACCCAGCATGGCCAGCTGAATGAAAGCTTTCAGGCTTGCTATATCCTACACTCCTACAGCGTTCCCCGTGTAATCTACCGAGACAGAGAGCCAGACGGGAAGGTGTTCCTACGGATAAACATGGTTATCCACATCATGAACCAAGCACCAAAAATGACCACGTACTCGGGTCAATGGAATGCAGGTAAATTACCTTGCATTTTTATTAGCATTTATACAGACAATGGAAGCTCCCTACAACAAATCTGAAAGGAAACCATTTTTGTAGAGAACTCCTATGACATGGTGAGAAAACCCTTTGTCGGACCAGAAAAATTCAATGTACAGAGAAAATTGTTGTAGACAAGATCATTGTAGGGGGAGTCCACCTGTACTTTTTGATACTCTGGTTGCACTTTTTTCTGCAGAAAACCCCATCAAAAATTTTAGTGGGCCTATATACACCTTTGGAATGTTTATGTGTGTGTAGGTTGAACCGAGTTGAAGAATGCAGTACAGTATA